TTTGACACTAACATTTGGTGATTGCGACCCCATAACGATATCAAATACAATCATATGTACCTAACAATCTTTACAAATGTAAAAAATAATAAGAATTATCATAAAACTAAATTAGAATAATATTATTCTAGGTTTAATACAATTTTTTTTAATAAAAGTAGGAAACACTGGCCATAATGAAATTGGAGAGGTATAATTTATAGGGTTTGATTACCAAACAAGGGGTGCATATTATGCATGAGCAGAAGTATTTTCCCACACTTTCAGCACAATTTTAGGGTTGCATATTATGGATGAAGGCGTATTTTACATGGGGAATTATGGTACTTTCACTAGTGTTCTTATCTCTGTTGTTTATGATAGCGTACATTCTTTGACCTTTCTTATTTGAGACAATTTTCACATCCATGTATCAAAACTAATAAAAACATATTGAAAAGACAAGCACATCATATAAAAATTATTTTTCTGTAAAAATGTCTGTGAAAAATAATAATCTGTTTTTCAATGTTCATATAACTAGAGAGGAAAAATAGACCAATTGATTGAAAAGAAACAAAAAGGACATGCACTCCTAACTTCTGATACAAAAATCCCTAAACATTGGGGACAGCAGACTTTGTTTTGTTTTTACAGCAGGCAAATGATGCTTATTTTTTGATGTACTTTAGTTAATATTTTAAATAAGAACCCAGTTTTGATTCTGTACAAAAATATCTTACACCATGACATCTTTCCTAATGGGGTTTATGGAGAGATGTGATTACTTAAAAAACTGGAATGATTTATAAATATATGACCTAAAGAAATTATATAATTTAAGCTGAATGTGAAAAAAATGTAAGATATTTTTGTCCTCTTAGGCTTAGTGGATCAGATATATTTTCCCCTTTCTTTTCAATTTCTTTTGCTTCATTTTAATAATCAAATATGACTTGAACAATTATTAATACCTTATTTTCTGTTTATTTAATATCAAACGATACTGTTCTTGAGGAGAACTTTAAAACTGTTATCAGGTTTTTGTTAGAATTATCTATCAATGGAAGATATAATATATAATTTTATATATCAAACTAATAGTGAGTAATTGAATAGCAAAATGAAAAAAACTTACTTTTTGCATTTCATTCTTCAAAAGGACTTCTTCAGACTAAAGATGTATTTATTGATGGAATCTATATGAATAAAGACAAAAGGAAAATTTTTCTGTTTCTTTACCAACACATTTTGTCCTCTGATGAACTTTATCAAGGTGAATATAAGAATTTTGTTTTGCCATATGTATTTATAAACAGAAGTAAAAATATTGTTAGGTTTTCAAAATTTTATCCTATAATACTTTAACTACTAGAAATCATTGGTAATTACATTTGGGAAATGGTTATTAGAATATTACAAAATTGATTTGTAAACTTTTTCCTTTTTGAGATATTTGATATTGAATAGGTAAACTAAATGTATCCATTCCAATAGTATATATGTCAAAAACAAAACTATTGAAATTTATAACCAAAGACTAAAATTCACTGTTTGTATTTCATCAAAAAGAACAAAGATTAGGTTTCCATTTTACCCATGGCTTGCAAAAACACTTTTGCACAGATATAGGATTGTCAAATTTGTCTATACAGAAGTGTTTTTAAAATAATTTCTAATAAAATTTTAGAGTTTATAATTTTATTGTAAAAATTTGTCGAATGTATCATTTTATTTTATTTTACATACATATATAAAATTTAGAAATCGTTTAAACAGGATACCTTTTACTTCTATAAATTTGAAAACCCTACTCAGATTGTACTAACTTCTCATACTAGTAGTCAAGCTCAGTGATTTCTGAAGTTTCTGCCTGAAATATACTGAGGAAACTTATATAGAAAATAAGTGTTTTGAGTTTGTTTTTTTTTTTTTAATTTAATTCATTTGGGGAAAAATGAAAGGCAATTGATCAAAATATCATGATATAAAAAGAATATCTGAAAAATGGGAAATTTTGACATTAATTTTAAGTAGCTAAGTTACCAGGTTTTGCATGGATTAAAATAATATTTCATAAAGCAATATTGCCCCTCCATGTTTACTGTGGCTGTTAATTAAACAAAAGAAAATGGTAGCGACAGAGATGTATTGCTTTCAATTTGTTATGATTATAACACAAGATAAAATCCTTTTATTTCAGTGAATTTTCCTACTTATAATTTATATCATACAATATATATATATTTTATTAATTATAGTGTTAAAGTGTATTTGCCTTTCAGATTTTTGTTCGATCCAAGTATGGTATCTTTGAAATTTGATTTTAATATCTAAAATTTTAAATTAAATTGTAAACATTAAAAAACAGTATAATTTATTTTCTGTCTGAATTTCTGGGATAAGGACTTTTATCATTATTTAAATTATTTGTATTTGAACACAAGACAATAAACTAATGGATTAAATCACTGATTCATGGATTGTGAATTCAATCCCTGAGCCAGGTAGTACAGAAAGCAGGCTAGCAATAACTGAGCAGTATTCAAAAAAGAACAAGAAGATATATCCTAAGACATGGCCAGTGGAATGAGAACAATCTACTCTAGTAGATTAAATAAAGAGTTCAGTTTGAAATTCCCTGATGGTTGCTCAGATTAATAGACATCTGAAGAAGGTCGGAAGGCACAATAGTTGAAATGTTTTGATAATAAAAGCAAAGATGAAGGCATTAGTTTATGAAAGTAAGAATAAATTAGGATGCTTATTTTGTTGGTGATTGTTAAGCAATAACTTTAATTTCTTCCAGGTGTTAATTGATATATTGAATGGATATTATATAATTAATAAACTTATGATCACTATATAAAATGTCATAAACATATTGAAATAAAATATAAAATAGTTATATGCTTAAATTAAATTTCAGTCAAAAATAATACACCATTTTAAAAAATAATTGAATAATAAATTTTTCTTTCATGTAATTACAAAATCTGACCTTTGACAAGTTTCAGGGAACTAAATTCTGCCTTGTAAAGAATATTTAGCTTTGGGAGCAACATTCTTTACAAGGCAGAACTTAGTTCCTTGGAACTTTTCATAAATTAGTGCTTTATTTTTATTTATGCAAAGAAAAATAAATGTTAAAAATTTCATTATATATTAAAACATTTTTTATTGTTTTAAAAATTTCTTTATTCAAACAATGCAACTAGTAGAATCTAGGTTCAATTAGTATTTACTTATCATTGAAATCAATTTTTAGATCCAGATAACAAAAATAAATATACCATTTTCTTCATTCTTTGAAAACATTTTTTAAAATGAAAATCTTACATTTTCAACTTTTTCATTTACAAAAAATAACCAAAGTAATTCTGTGAACTCATAAAATGTTGGATATTTTTTTATCTAAATAAAAGAGTAGATTAAATGTTTACGTGTACACAAACATACAGATAGGGTAATTGAGAATGGGATTTACTTCCCAAGAATTTTAAGAATTATTGTTTTGATAAAGAAAGAAAAAAGAAAAAGAAAAAGAAAGAAAAAAGAATAGAAAGGATAGTTAAGTTGAGTAATTTAAGTTCCGACAGTATATTTTTTATTATTTTATTAAATAAATTAGATCCTAAATAATTCATGAACAAGCAAATTACTCTTACATACTAAAAAAAATAAATAAATAAATTATTATTATTTACTTTTTGATAGGCCTTTAAATTTTTATTTGAAGAACTTGAAATAATGATGCAAACAACAATAGTGACAATAACAACAGGGAGAAGGCGATTTCTTGTTGTGTCAGTTGGTCAGACATCTTAGCACATCTATTGCAAAGGTACTACCAAAAAGGCAGAATTCTTGCTTTCATTTATGGATTTATAAATCGACTGACAATCGTAAATTCGCGCCCTCTTTATGACATCAAACAGGCAGGTTGGATTGGACACTTTTACACATAAACATACACATTCTATACACACATACATACATACACGCAAACATACATACACACTAGTATGAGGTTTTAAATGCATATGTCCTACTTCTTGTAAGTCTTTCTTTATTCACACGTATTCATAATATTTCTAAAGCCGCCAAAATAGGACGATTAAAAATCATTTTATAATAGCAAAAATATAATGATAAAAAAGATTGTTTATTGTAGAAAAGACGAATATTTGTATTTCTGAAGTATAAATTTTATTTCTTTGGTCGTGGTTAGGGTTAATTATAATTATTAACTCTTGTTTTTGGGGTTCAATAAAACAAAATAGTCAAGTTTGTGTTTCGTTTTCCGTTGATTTCAGGTGTTGATTCCGCATTTTTGTGTGGCTTTCCTCGGTCGAGTAGCCATCGCCTAATTGTTGATGTAAGGCGGTCGACCATTGGCTGATTGTATTGTGTGTATACGCCAGAATTGTTAGTCTAATTCCCGAATCACGCCGACATAGGCACCAGGAAGCCGGCTGCAATCTGACAATTAATTGTGCCCACCCTAGCAAGCCAATCGGAGCATCATGCCAACCGTGGATGCACCATTGTCGGGAGGAAAAGACAAAAAACGAACGGCAAGTGACTGATCCAATTGTAAAATGCGTTACAGGACGGCTTGTTATTCTACAACGGTAAGAAGATTCGGTCCGACTCGCTCTTGTTGTTGTCACTTTGCTCGCCTCTGTTTATTTCTATCGCTGATTTTCTTCCCCTATAGCCGCTCGAAATTGTAGCCTAAGCATCATTGTTGATTGTGATAAGTTGTGGGCATGCAAGGGGTTCGATAGGTCGAGCGAGTAAACCGCCAACACAACCAGACAAATCTACTCGCTTTATTAAGAGAAGAGTAGAGAGAGTGAGTGAGTGCCCCGCTCCCGCAACTCGAGCGGCCATGCCAAAGCGTTAAAACTACGGGCAGAGTCACGTGACAGAGAAAATGGCGGCTTCCCCGACCATTCAACATGGAACGCACTCTAAACGATTCTAATTCACGCCTGAATGTGCCTCGTTTAATCGAGATTCTTACCTCACAGCATGCCTAGATCAGTGTAGAATCCTGCATCTATCACCCAACATGTCAACGAAATCGAGGCGTGCGAGAGGACGTCCGCCGAAGACTCCTTTGTCGGGTCGGACTAATTTTCTAAAGAGACCTCGGGCTTACACTGGCAGTAGCTTTGTCGATAGCCATCACCAACATTTGGACGGTGCTTCTGGTGGTACAGGAACGTTTGGTGGTTCTCACCTGGGGCACCACGGTCATCACCATCATCATTTGGGTAGAGGTGGTATCCGGGGACCCCGCCTGAGAGAGGCTGCTCAAAAGAGCCGCACCTACATCCAACAGATGCTTGAGGACGATGACGATGATGCTCCCAGGAACCTCGATCCAGACCCCGACAAGTCCAGCGACATTACCGATGTGGACACTATTGACGATGACCACTGCTCGGACGATACTTACGAGGAATCAGAGTCTGTCTACAGCGAAGAGAGTTACAGTACCGTCAGTTCATTTGGTCGGCGAAGGTACCATCCCCGGAGGCCGAAAACCCCCGATCTGGATGAAAACCGTGAAATCCCTCCTCTTCAATTACCCCCATCTGCAACAGACCTCACAATACCAACGGAACATCTGATGCAGGCATTGAGCATCTATGAGGTTCTGAGGCATTTTCGGACCATTCTCCGTCTGTCACCATTTTTATTCGAAGACTTTTGCTCAGCACTTCTCTCTGATGAGCAATGTTTGTTGTTAGCAGAGACTCATATAGCTTTGATGAAATCCTTGTTACGCGAAGAGGAAGCCAATAACACAACGTTCGGAGCTCACGATTTAAAAGACAGTATCAATATCGCCTTGTTCTTTTTGGATGGCATGACATGGACAGAGCTGGTCAGGTCTTACCTGGACAGCGATCAAAACCAAGAATTTAAACACACGATTGAGGTGTTGGAAAAAGCTGACTTTCCCTTTGTCGGTATTGAGGACAAGTTAACTGTCCTACAGACTTTGACAGATCTCTTCCTTGCCACTAATGCTGTCAGGGAGGAAATCATGAATGAAGGCAACATTCAGTATGATGATCATTGTCGATCTTGTCATAAGTAAGTATAAATAGCACGCCTTTTTTTAAAATAATACATCTTAAAGTTATTTACTGTGTAAACATACGAACATTGATACAAATGACAATATTGCAGCCTGAGCTAAAAATGATACAGATAGGTTTGTAAAAATAATATACTCTTTTTTAACAGATTTTAAATGAGTAAAATCAAGATTTTAAGTTGTATATTATAATTTATAATTATGTTGATTTATTGCAATAAATAACAAACATTCATGCTACATAAATCTCAGTAGGGCATTTTTGTTTCTTAAGTAATATTTTGAATGAAGTGACCAAAGTTTTGACTTGTTAGAAGTTAATTTTCATTATTCATTGTATACCCATGCTGAGTTATCACAACAACACATAATAAATTAATGTTTATAAAAACAGACTCCAAAAAAATAGATTTGTTGTTGGAACTCCGATCAAAGTTATCCTAAACAATTATTGACAAATTTGTTGATCATAAAAGTAAGTTTTTTTCTACTTCTCAATAAGAAGTGGCTATAAACATGTTTTTCTATTGACCAGTTTTAGATCATTAAAGAAAGTGGTGTGAAATGTCCCAGCCGATAGTTTGTCAAAAGCCTTTGTTTCAAACTTTTTCTTTTTTTTTTTTTTTAAAGACAAATCTGTTCACCTTTTTAAAAAGAGTGCTCCAAAAGAAATTATATTAAATTAAAATATTTATCATAGTTTTAGTTTAAAATTTAATATATGTCCATCAGTTAATTAAATATATTACAAAAGTAAGTTTATTATTACAATAATATAATGTTATAACTTATTAAGTAAGTTCAATAAAGACATTGTTAAAGAAAGTCTAATGTTTCATTTTACATTTATTTTTCTATAAACAAATTTGACAGTGGAATGATAAGTGTGAAAAGTTTTTTGTGATCTTCTCATTGCAACTAATTCATAAAGCATTAAAATATATTAAATATATTAAAATTTCATATTGATAAAAGTTTGCTGGTGAGGAATTTTTTACATTATTTTGAATTTTGTTATTATTTCAGAGAGACTTATTTTTACACTACTAATATAGGGCCAAATATTCATAAAGAGTAGTAAACTAAAAAATAAAAATTAGAGCATTTAACATGAATTGGGATTACTAATTAAGTTTGGTAACAACAAATTTATCAGATACATTTCTTTGTTTACATGTAAATGTATTAGCATTTCTATGCTATATTCATAATGGTTAGTGTTTCAGATTTGTTAATGATGGCTTAATTTTCATAAAAATAGCATTTTAGTTATCAAAAATGGCAAGACATTTTTACATTTTTAAAAAGCTAAACTTAGAAGTTAACGACAATGTTTACTTTGAGATAAATTATAAATAATTAAAAGAATTTTCTAATATTTTTTTTTTTTACCTAGAATTGTAATTCCCATCATGTTACCTTGTGTGCAGTTAATTTCTTAAATGTTTATAAAAACTGGCCTCAAAATATTCTATGATCTACATATCCCATTTTCTTGGCATAGGACCTGATTAAAGTAGCAGTTATTAAGGGCCAGTCAAAGTTTCATTGCAGATATTTGAAACTGCTAACTTAAAAGTTGACATTTTTCCTAAATATTAAAATACTCATTTTTATTTTATATAAATTTTGATTGCATTAAAACTGAGTAATATATAAGAATTGAGAATTATAGAAACAGTTATAGGCTAAAAAATATCTGGAAAGTAAGTAGCCTTCATTTTAAAATGTACAATGATACAAATATGCAAATTTAGCCTCTTGGTGTATTTCCTACATATATGTATATATAAAATAATAGACATTTTTATTTGAGAAATCATTTTCTTGTATAATAAAAGGTTTTCATAACTTCTTAAGCTTCAGGGTTGACAAAAAAACCCAAATAAATACTACTAGCTTATCTCTTTGGATGGGCCCAACCAAATTGGAATGTAGGTGGGTAAACCTACTTTTGCAAGATGTATGTTTCAATAATTTCCTTATTACTCTTAAAACTGATGAACAAAAGGAAAACATCTGTAATTTTGCATGTCTTTCTGATAATTATGATAATTGTGAGGAATCAATTTAGTAATAGTTACTAATTACAAATGGTTATATTATGAAACACCTGGTGAGGTACAAACTCTATTAGTAGTTAACAAAATTAGAATTTTAATGCTTTACCTTTAGTGATTTAGAAGATACTTATGTAGATTGTTAAAAATGTTTTCAGGTTTCTATTAGGATGCAGAAATTTAAAATATTAAGAATGATTTTTAAAGCAGTCTAAAATTTATATGAAATGAAATCAATAACAAAAATGAAGGTTGTACATATTTGACTTTACATTGATTCTTCCTCTTTCCTTGTTCTTTCTCCTTTCTTTTTGATCCCCTATCACATATTTTATTTTCTTCTCCCACCATATTTCCTTTCTTCCCCCAAAATTTGTTGAAATATACATTTAGCCCTCTTGATAAGTGTTTGTATGTCGTCATTCTATAACAGCTATTTATCAATATAGTTAGTTTTACATAGAGATTCACATCTAACCTTGTTCTCACAAAATTATATCCCTTGAAGTATGAGTAGGATAGAGTTTGTTTTCCCCCACCAATCAATAATATATCTCTTGTGTGTTAAACTATGGAATCCCTACTTTAATCTGCCTACATTAAACCTAACCTAGTTTTTTTTCCCCTCTTTCCCTATTTTATAGATTTTATTCCCTTTTAATTTTGTCTTTCATTTTCTCTCTTGACAGGCAGCAGGGAGAAGAATAGTCAGCTATTCTCTTGAAATAAAAAAAAATAACTTTGTGTCTGTTGTGAAAGTTTTCAATTTTATTCAGATTTTTATTTATCTTAATGCTTGTCTATAACTGATTAGAAGACATCATTTAATAAACTAGTTGTGGATTTGATCAGCTAAATCTATTTTACTTATGGCTTAAGAAGAATAAAAAAAATTATGTCAAATTTGCTGGAAGCATAAAGTTTATGAAATGATAAAAATAATTTCAAAGAAAACACTGCCTTAAACTGATCATTCACTTCTTTTTTGTTTTTTTTAAAGAGTGATTTTTATTTATCAGGAAAAAAAATTGGATCAAATCAAGTTGGATCAAACTATTATTTTCAAAGAATAATGAAATATTTTAGTGTTTCTATGTATAAAATCCAGTATTGTTGAACCTCAATTATTTTTAAAATTCATTTTAGCTTCTACATTTTGATTGGTGTCTTTAATGAATGTATGTATACTGACAGAGCACACTGAATGCAAGATATTGTACTTGATTTATTGTGAATTTCTAAGACAAATTGAAAAAGTTTCATCTCAATATCTCAAGAAATATTTAAAAAGTTTTCAAAAGTAATTAAACTTTAAGACTTTTAAACATTTAATGTTAATTTGTATCATAAAAATTTAGATAAAAACTTACAACACAAATATGAAGAGGGAAATAATGCTGTTTATAGAATTTGCTTTCTCTTTATGGATTAAAAAAATAGCAAAAATATAAGTAAAATAAATGATCATTTGTTTGATAGTAATATACATAATGGTTTCAGTCTTGGTTTTATCCACATTTATAATTTCACCAATTTAAAATCTTTGTGCAAAAATGCTACTAGAAATTCTAATAAATTTAACTTCTGTCAACTGTTTTTGTCAAATTATCCTGCTTACCAAAATTTTCTGTAACAGTTGAATGGTCATGTATAATTAGTTACTTGGATGAGTTTGTCCACAGAAACATTGTCCTAACTTGGTAGTGATTGTTTTTCAAAAATTACTGAACAACTTCTGTTTATCTACTGAAGAACTGTTTTGAAAGGAAGAATTTATAAATTTAAACTAACACTACTTCAAACAATGAATGCCAAATGTTTCTGGATATGGAAATGGCTAATCTCACCATTATCATTATTTTGTTTGCTACATGATGATATTTAATATAATTCACATTCAGATATAGATATTGTACCTCATCTTTGTTGACTGCTAACCATGCAGATTAGATGTAAACCTTTTGATGACACATTTTGATAAATCTATTATTAATTATCTGAATCTATTCTTAAGTATTAGTTACTCGATCAGATTTTTGCATTCTTATCAAGTGTCACAGAATTAGGCTTTTTGGTGAAGTTTTGTAACTCTTTTGAGTTCATTCCTACCAAAAATAAAATGTTTATTTTAAAGCTAAAAAAAATAATGGTGGTTATATCTGGGTTTCATGTAAATTAAAAACATTATATGTACCTTAAATTTACAAAGAATATTATTGAGTTTAAAAGTACACATTAACTGTAGTAGACAAAGGATAAACACAACCTGTGTAGAATGAAATAGGAAATGAATGTCTTTAGTTAAGCATAATGAAATTAAATATTTTTGTTTATTTTTTTACTGTAGCAACAATTGTTAAGAATGTTTGCAAGGCTTTCATGAGTCTATTTTTTGAATTTTTTTTAAAAAGCTTTCATAAAAGAAATTTGCTTTTATATTTTCATACATATATTGCCTAATGCTTTTTGTTTATCTTTCTTGCCTATTTTATTTGCAAGTGATTTCGTATTTAAGAATCTACAATTTAGCACTTATTTTTGAAACTACAACATAATTTTGTTATTTCATGATGACATGCAAGTGTACTATTGATGGTTATTTAAAAAAATAAAACTCAATTTCTATCTGTTATATATATATATATATATATATATATATATATATATATATAGTTTAAACTATTTAAACAGGATCATTTGATAGTTTATTTACTGAATTTGGTTATTGTCATATTAGTACCAAAGTTTTCTTTTTCTATTAGCATAAAAATGTCACTTTGAACAAAGTAAAATTACTCCTTATGAATGGGAAGATATTTTAATTGGAACAATATAAACTAGGACTAGGTGTACATTGATCTGTTCATTCATTTTTTTTTTTCCAGTTCTTTCAATGAACCAAATTAAATATACAATTTGTCACTACAGAAATGCCT